CTCAGATCCCCGCCTGCCTCTGCCTCTTAGGTGCAGGATTAAAGGTGTGTACTACCTCCACCCCACTGTACAATTCTCATCTTATCTTATCTTTCCAGCACTCGTAATTTAGAGTATTCCTTACATTTGACTAGAAAGTTGTGTAAACAAGTGGAGTGGAAAATTCCTTACGTGCCATCTGCCTGGAATTTAAAGTCATTACTAAAGATGCAAATGGTCTGTCCAAATGAGCCCACAGAGTTTGAGGTTTCTCACTGTTGACTTGTTCAGGTTGACTTTACTCCTTGCAAATGTGGGTGAACTCTATGGAGATTTGTGTCAACCATTTCTGTTGTATCCCAAGCACCCAAAGAGGTTCTTGAACACGGGGGACATTCAACAAACTCTTGTTCCATGAAGAAAACTCACCCTCCTGTGGTTCACAGTATACAATTTTACATTAAAGGGAAGCTGAGGCAGGAGGATTGCTCGAGCTCAGAAAGTTGAAGTCAGCTTGGGCAACACAGTGAAACACCCTCTGTTCATTTCACAAAATGAAACAAACCAAAACTCCAACATGCTGATGAAAGTCAACACAGGGTCCAGAAACAATACTGGAATACTGTAAGAAAACAGAATAAAATAACATTTTACTTCCGTCAGTGACCTAAGGCTTTATTTATTCCAGTGGCATGCCTCATGGAATGCATCAGTGTTTACCCGTAAGCTCATAAAGGGGATTTATGAATGGCTATTTCCATTTAGAGTGGAAAGCTGATTGGGTAATTAATAATGTTTCCTGCTGATCCCGTCTTCACCCCTTGAAGACCTGATGCTTACATGTGTGGAACATCTTTCCCCGTGGAGCGCCAGAAGTATTTACGAGGATCTGCATTCCCCAAACCAGTGGTTTGGTTGGATGTTAGGTCTCAGTGTCAAGCAGAGCCTAGAGATGATCTTTATACCCTGTGCTGGGTGGCACTTTTCACCTTCCATTCCTATGCTCTCCTGCAAGTTGAGCTGTGGTGTGAAGGAGAAGGTGCGGGTGAGGAGCATAGCTCTTGAGTCAGGCTGTACTGCCAACAGTTGTGGGGGTGTGGACAGGTCAATTCATGTTTCTGTGCCTCAGTTTCCTTGTCTACAGAATAAGGATAATAGTCATCTTCTAAGGTTGCTGGGGCATAGTTAATCAATGCATGCACTTCCATGCACCCTGCTTAATGCTGGGGGTATGGTAAGTGCTTTCAAAGCATCTGCTAAATTCTGGGGATCTTTATGTTTGTTTAGGAATGTGAAACTGAAAAGTTGGGGGAAGCAGTCTGCAGAAATCTTTACCAGCTTAGAACAATAAGGGAGAAGGTGAGCATGAATAATGGGGCACATCTGCATGATAAATTATTTTTTAAGTGCAATTTAAATTTTAAAGCGTGCTTAGTAACTCATCCAGTGGAGGCTGTGGCTTAGTGTATGAAAAATTTTTATCTATCAAAGTGCTAATAGTTACATATTCATTATATGCCTATTAATTGTTATTCATGGTAAGTCTCTGTACCCTTTGACAATAAATAAAACATGACCTTGTCCTGAAGTTGCTTCCTGTCAGGGGGGATCAGAGAGGAACCTATTGATTATCGTGCCAAGCTTTCTCAGGGGTATACACAGACATATAATGTGGGGCAAAGTGCATTTGTTAAATTGCGTCTTCCTCTGTAGCCTAGGCTGGCCTTGGGCACTTGGCACTTTTCCTCCAGCCTCCCTAGTACTGCAATTCACAGGCATGACTTACCACACCAGGCAGATCAATAAAGTGTTGATTAACTCATGACTCATTTGATCTTAGTAATAAGTCAACTTTGCTTCTCTTCTGGAGTGAGCTACTTTAATGGAGACCATGAAAGATTGGGAGATATATGGTGATGTCTCTGTATAGCTGAACATACAGTGAGGCCCTTTGTACATGTTTGGAAGCAGCTTCTGGGTAGTAGATCCCTTTGTAGCAGACTGAGTAGATATGCATATGCCAATGGGCCAGGCATACTACAGGTCGTCATTCTTTGTGCTTTCTCAAAAGCATGTCCACACTGATTCCTATGAAGACATTGACTATGAAGAGGACCATGTTTCAAAAGGGAGGTATTGACTTTTGAACTTTTCAGATATCTTATATTTAAATAACTTCCTGCTCTTAAGAGAATACTTTCTGAATGATGAACTTTCCTCTAGCAAACAAAAGTAGAGGCTATGGGTTCATAAAGCTCCACCTAATTGTACACTAATTGTTTTTTTTTTTAATTTATTTATTCTAGTTAGGGAACAAGCTTGTTTCACATGTAAGTCCCTTCCCCCTCTCCCTCCCCTTACCCCCTCCCCCCTCACCACCAATTGTTATCCCTATAATAGATGGACTTAATTTCTTGGTCTTTTACTTTAATAATTATGTATTTGCTTTAATGTACATTCCCCAGAATTGGCATCATGTGGCTTTTGGGCCTCTCTTTTAAACAACTTTTTTTGTTTTGTTTTGTTTTTTCAAGACAGGGTTTCTCTGGGCTTTGGAGTCTGTGCTGGAACTAACTCTTGTAGACCAGGCTGGTCTCGAACTCACAGAGATCTGCCTGCCTCTGCCTCCCCAGTGCTGAGATTAAAGGCGTGAGCCACCAACACCCAGCTTAAACAATGTTTTATTAGCATATATGAGTTATATGTAATGATGGGCTGCACTATGATATTTTGTACATACAATGTATATTTATCATATTTAAACTCATTATCCTCTATTGTTTTCCTCCCCCACCAGCTGCTACCCTTCCTCTTCCCAACTAGTTTCCTCTCTTTCATGGTGTGTGTGTGTGTGTGTGTGTGTGTGTGTGTGTGTGTGTGTGAACTACATGCTTGCAAGAGCCTGCAGAGGTCAGAAGAGAAGTGAGATCTGTGGGAACTAGTTACAGGCAGTTGTGAGTGATCATGTGGGAACTGAACCTGGGTCCCCTACAAGAGCACTATGTGTTTTAAAGTACTGGGCCATCACTGCAGCCTCATCCCAGCTACTCTTGAGGTTGCAGCAGGAAGACGGAAAGGTCAAGCCCTCTCTGGATTACAGAGTTGTTCAAGGCCAGCCTTGGCAACTTAGTGAGACCCTGTCTCAAGAATTTACTGAGAGAGAAGGTTGAGATTCACCCCACTAGCAATAGTAAACTGTCTAGAATTCCCCAGGGAAGGGTGAGTCATTGTAAGTGTCCCCCCTTCATGGAACATTGTTGATTGGCCCAATCTTGTGCAGCTGCTGTGAGTTTGAGTGCAACAGCTGTGTTATACTTTGGGGACCTTGTTCTCCAACATTCCACCCCTTTCTCCTGCTCTTTCCTTAAATCTCCTCTTAGACAGTGTTCCCTGAGCCTTTTAGGGCATGATAGATGTTGTATTTGGGGCTGAGCGTTCAACAGTCACTTACTTTTAGCACTTTGACCAGTAATTATGTCTCCTCAGTAAGCACTACTTACTGCAAAAAGAAGGGTCTCTGCCCAGAGGTGACAGCAACATTCATCCATGGGAATAAACATAATTATTTAGAAGTTAATTTGATGGACACACAGCATATTCATTTAGCAAAACAATGGAAGTAGCTTTCCCACCAGACCCATGACCTCTCCAGCCACAAGGCTTTGACCAGGCTTACAGTACCAGCTTACAGTACTGAGCACTGGTTCTCTCCTATGAAGCAGGCCTTAAATCCAATTAGGAAGTGGTTGGTTACCCCATTATGGACTTGCTACTGTTGCACTAGTAGGTACATCTTGCCTGGCAATTCAGCAAGCTAACTTTCAGGGTCCAAAGCTGAGTATGACAGCTGAGGACAGTTTCCCCACACCTATCTGCATAGCACTGTTGACACTGTGAAGGCCAGTCAGCAGGGAGGGAGCATCCAGCCCACCTCTAGCTTAATTCTCAATGTTCTTAGATCAGAGTATGTGGTGTCTTCATCCAGAGGGTCTTACAATCTAGTTCTATTGGGCAGCCAAACAGCAGTGGCAATCACCTGTATTATTTTGGAGGCCCCCTGAGAGATATTGTAGGGAGATAGTCCATCCCTGGAAATGGGATTTTCATTAATAACCTATGGATTCTAGGAGTATCTTTATCTACCCACTTCAAGATATCTCCATTCAAATGGTTTTTGGTCTCTTTTAAATTGTAAAGGGGAAAAGGAAAGGGGCTAGTGATAACCTTAGAAGTATGCATTTTACCTTTATTATTGTTTCAGTAGACTTATATATCTTGGGAAAGGAAGGGTGCTAGCTCACTTATTCTATGAAGAAAATAAAATCATAAGATTAAAAATGAAGCCCAATGTACCTGAGAAATCTCCAGACTCACTAATAAAATGCAGTACACCAGTGTGTACACAGCCACAAAACCAGGTTCAAGAAAGACAAGGGCTTTTGGCAGAAACTGGGTCAGCAAACCATATTGCTCCCAGGAGTGTCTGGAATGGAGTGGGAATGGGCAGACCCATCCCTATATAACACGTGCAGGATTTACACAGGAGACTTTCAACAAGAAGAGTTCATAATATTCATTATTAGGTTTCCTTATTTGGAAGAGTACGAAAAGAGATCACGTGGAACAGCCACTGTGTAACATACTCCGGGTGGGCACAGTGTAGATCTGGATCTGGCTGGATCAGCTCCATAGTCATGTGGTTTTTGAGTAGGTGTCCAGAAAGCATGAGTACTTACTTGAGTTCTTCCCAGGATGGTGGGAAGGGCTCCTAATGAGCTCTGAGTCTCTTAATCCCTTAGTATCAGGCTTTCCATATATTTCATGTGTAAGAATTAAAACATGAATATGTACCACAAGATGGCATTCTATTATTTCAAGTAATGCCAGGGCAGTTAATTTCTGAAAAGTGTTAAAATATGTGTCGTCCATGTAACGGTATTTAACTGTTTCACACAAACCTCTAATTTCCTTTGCTATTCTTTATAGAAACTTGAGGCTTATGTCTGTTAACTCATGAAGGAAAACAACTTAGATTTTGCAAATGACATTTATTAGAGTGAATAGTTCATGGTCTCATGTTCGGCTACTAAAAGTTCCATTTTCCTAAAGCTGCAAGGATTGTAAATGAGTGAGTGACCTTAGGTGTTTTCTACTGTGTCTTCCATGCTTTTCCATCTATCACCTTGTGTTACTTTCTCTTAAGCAGATCTGACATATTTATTTACTGCTTATGTTTGCTTTTTTCAAGTAATATATGAGTTTTATAAGAGGCTACATGATTTTCATTTCATGACCATATTCTCAGTGTCTGGAACAGTGTCTGTCTATCTATCTATCCATCATTCTATCTATTATGTATGTATGCATGTGTATACATTTGTGGGTATGTATATCTATTAATTGATCTGTGGTAGTGATAGGGAGTGGCACTATTAGGAGGTATGGCTTTGTTGGAGTAGTGTGGAATTTTGGAGGAGGTTTGTCACTGGGGGGTGGGCTTTGAGATTTCAGAAGCTCAAGCCAGGCACTGTCTCTTCCTGCTGCCTGTGAGTCAAGTTGTAGAACTCAGATCCTTCTCCAGCACCATGTCTGCCTGCATGCCATCATGCTTCCTACATGATGATAATGGACTAAATCTCTGAATTGTAAGCCAGCTCCAATGAAATGTTTTCCATCTTAAGAGTTGTGTGTCTCTTTATGACAATAAAACCCAAACTAAGATTCTACTTATCATCTCTTTATCTATCTATCTATCTATCTATCCATCCATCCATCCATCCATCATCCATCCATCCATCCATCCATCCATCCATCCATCCATCCATCCATCCATCCATCCATCCATCCATCCATCCATCTATCTATCTATCTATCTATCTATCTATCTATCTATCTATCATCTTTCTACCTGTTTAATCACAAAAAGATGAAGAGGGTCCTTATTATTTAAATGAATAGCCTTTTTTCTTAGTAGCTAAATATTAAAATTAAATGGAAGTGTGAAATAGTATAGTTGAACCTGTAAGAATTTCACTGACAATTTAGCGATGTAATCAGAACTGAGAAAGTTTTATTACTGTGCCTGTCTGGCGATGCATTCTGTTTTCCTTCATAATTTAGTTTCGTTATCTTCCTACAACTTACAGCGTGACTGTAACATTTACTCAGAATGCATTTATGGATATGTAATGAACAAGCTGCAATGCTGTAAAGGAAACAATTTCATTTTATGTTAGTGTAAAAAGGCTAATTCACACATGTCCTCATGGTCTAGGGAGCTGCGTATGTCTTGGATGGCTGTCCAGGAAGTCTCCTTTGTAGAGAAACAGACTCCTCCGTCTATCTTCTCTTACCAGTATGGATCTCTGGAGGGCTAAGCTTCATGGAGGCAGCTGAGGTAGTCTTTGGAATAGGGTTGAACTGAGTGATTTCGAACACAAATGCATTTTCATTCTTTTTCTTGGTTCTTTGAGGTCCATACCAATAGAGTTTTATATTTCATTTCTAAGGATTCAGAAGACCTGAAGCTCAAATTCTCCAGGCAAAGGACCCCTTTCCCCACCTCAGCCCAGGCAATGCACTTGGCTTCTGCTCAGTGTATTGAGACACCATTTGATCACACGATGAATTGGGGACCTGGGGAGGAGGAAGGGGATGGCCCAAGAGTATCAGTCTCAAGTTAGAAGCTACTTTATCCTGTGATTTTGAGAGATTCATTCTCTCTCTCTCTCTCTCTCTCTCTCTCTCTCTCTCTCTCTCCCCACATCTGAGTTAGAGTAACACAGAGGTGATTTCACAGTGGATGTGGAGGCAGACAGACAGTATCTGGAGTAAGTTACATTATCCCAGGTGCAGTAATTATTAACTATTTTAGCAGGGTATTTAGTTTTTCCAAGCCTTATCCTCCATACAGGAAATAGAAAAAAAAAAAAAACCACTATAATTTCATGGTATGCTTTTGAGAATTAACAGACTATGTATGTAAATTGAGTAGGTTAAAAATGGTAGCTATTATTAATGTTGGTGCATCTATATTCTCTTTCAGGGCAATTTTGAAAAAGAAATAAACTATCGAATATCTCTTATGTGTCTGACATCCTATCCTTTTATGATTGTTTTCCTGAGGTGCTAACACAGTCACCAGGCCATGGTCTTTCTGTTTTGGACTGACCTGTTTAATTCCTGAAACAATCCAATCTTCATCCAGTTCCTACTTTTGGAGATTGGGGATAATATTATGTAACTCCTTCATAATGAAATAGCTGTTAGAGTTAGACAGGGTGATGTAATTAAGGCATTTAGCACAGGTCTGGCACTGAGAACATTCTTGGTTTATGTTAGCCTGGTTCATTATTATTATTATTATTATTTATTATTATTTTATATATTCCAATCTCATTCTCATCTCTGCTCAGGGCTTAGTTAGGATCTAAAGAAGGCTTTCCTAGGGACAGAGGGATGGCTCATTGGCTAAGAACACTTTCTGCTCTTGTTGGACCTGGGTTCAGTCCTTGGTACAGATGTGTGGCTCATAATCATCTGTAACTCCAGTTCTGGGGGGATTTGTCCACTCTGATCTTCTCTTTGGCACCAAGCACTCACATGGTACACATACATATGCAGGCAAGACCCTGTCCCACCCCTCCCCCCACTTTAAATTTCCTCTGGATTTCTTGAGTGCCTGCCTCACTTGTTTGAGTTTAAGTGGTAAAACCAAGATCCTTGATTTAAAACTGGTTTTTACTTAGAGGTTTCTTGGAGGATGTTTACTGGTCCTGCAGGTACCTGTCATTTCTATCAGTTAATTCATGTTGACAAAAGGGAATGCTAACTTTTCTTTTTGTGTTTTCATTTAGTATCCCAACCCCATGGATAAGAATGTCATCTCTGTAGAAACTGTGGAAGAAAAGAAGGGTAAGTTCTCTGAATATGGTCTGCTTTAGAGGTGCTCACTAAGTATACTGACTTTATAAAGGATACATTTGTCTGTGCGTGTGTGTGTGTGTGTGTGTGTGTGTGTGTGTGTGTGTGTGCATGTCTATTATATCTTATGGAGTATTCTTGTCATTTTGTAAATTATAGCTGATGGGTAAGACTGAGGCTGTACATAACTGTGCAGGTAACATGTTGAAGTACTTAACCTGTGCCAACATCCTACTTTCCTTAGCCCATTCAACTTTTAGAATAATGTTTGAGGTAGGAATTATGAATATTCCTATTTAATACAGGAGGAAACTAAAGCACAGTGAGACTAACCTGCCCAAGCTCATTTGGCTGTGTCTTTACACATGTCAATTTATAGATGGCAAAACATTTGGAGATAGTGCATAGATGAAACCAGGAGTGGTGTGACTCGTGTATGTAATCCCAGCTATTGAATGGTGGAGGCAGGAGGATCAGGAATTTAAGGCTAGCCTGGACTATTCAAAAATAGCAGCTAGATACGATGTTGCTATAAGTTGCTTAGATTGAGGAACCATAACTGTGGTTTGGCAAATTATGGCTCATGCTGTGTGTTTTTGTAAGCAAGCTTTTGTTGCTCATTAGTCATCCCCTCTGTATGTTATCAGTGGCTGCTTCATCTGAGTTACAGCAAGAGCTGAGCATTTGCAAAGGAGACCATATAGCCCACAAATCTAAATTATATACTCCAGGACCCCTTTCCAAAAATGTTGACTGTGCCCCACCTCGGGGTCTTTGGTGCTTTTTGCAGTCCTTTCTTCCGGGGAAACATTGTGACTTATTGTTGGGACTTGAGGAGTGGGCAGTGCCGGGAGCTCTCATGATGTACACACTTGATGCATTAGCCCGTGGAGACATCTTGATCCTGGCCCAGCATGCTCTTCAGCCTTAGAAACCACGGGTGTTGCTGTTGGTGATGGGGCTGCAGCTTCCTCTCTGCTGTCTTATTTATGGGGCTGCTTTCTGCATTTCCGTAGCTATAGAAATAGATTGTAAAAGCATTTTCTCGTGTACCTGTATGTAGTGTGGGACAAGCTTGCTTTCTGGCCTGAGACAAATCTCATTTTGAGTCCCGATTCTGTTACTTCCCTTATGACCTAACTTTAAAAAAGCTTAAGGTCTTTATCTGTCAAATAGTAAAATGATCCTGTTAATTTCAGGGTATCATCTTTGCCTCTTTTTTCCCCACTATTTAACCCTGACTGGCCTGAAACTTGCTATGCTCACCAGGCTAGCCTAGAACTCACAGAGATCACCTGCCTCTGCCTCCCAGGGGCTGAGATTAAAGGCGTGTACCACCATGCCCAGAAGCAACTCCATTTTTAATATGTGTGTTGTTTACCTGTCTGAGAGTAACAAATGCTATGGTGGAGCATTTGCTTCCTGACTGCAGGTATCTAGTAGTCACAATGTTTGCAGCAGGGGTTAGGATACCTGTAGTTAAAGCACTGAGAAACCTTGCCTGTGTCTGAGCCATAGTAATTCTATAGAGAAATGACAGCACTTCACAGTTTGTCTTTTTTTCCTTTTCTTCTCATCTTAACTCACACCTGTTATTATTATAATTAGTTTTAAACTTTCCTCCAGGAATGTTCTGGTCACAGGGGTTTCATTCCTCAATAAATGACTCCTGTAGTTAATTAATTACAGGTTTAGATGATACAGTCAGAAATCTGCATGTGACAGTGTGGTCCAGGAGGTGGCAGAATCCCTTACCATCCTCCTTGTTGAGCAGGTGGCCAATGGCCAGTGTCACTAGATGCTTGACACTGATCATCCAGAGTAGAGTGGTGGCCCACTAGTGACACATGTTTGGAGTTGTTTTATCTTGAGCACTTGTGATTCGGCTTAGAAAACTGATCAGAAAAGGGGAATGTTTTTTCAAAATTTTTATTTTATTTCATATTATGTTTCTGCATATGTCTGTTGGATATGTGTGCCTGGATATAGGTGTCTGAGAAAACCAGATGTGGTGGATCCCTTGGATGTGGAGTTATATAGGCTGTTGTGAGATGATTGAGGTGGATGGGTGCTGGGAACCAAACTTACTTACTTTTTACAAGAGCAGTAAGCACTCTGAACCACCAAATCATCTCTCCAGCCCCTGGAAACTTAATTTGTGTTAAGCCTTATCTATAAAGAATTCTACATATTGAAAATTGAAGTTTGAGCTAAAAAGCTCTATGGACTCTTAGATAAGAATATGTTTTTCCCTAATTATTTTTTTGGCTATGAAAATTTCTTTTTCTAGATGAATCAACAGGACTCATCTATAGAAAGAGGATTGCTATCTGTCAGAATGTGGTTCCTGAAATTTTAAGAAAGGTAAATTCATTTCAGAGTTTAATCACAGTGGGGATAAAATTGAGGAATTTCAATAGTCATAGAAAAAGACAACACTTTCTGATCTAAAGGAGTGTCAGATTTTGCCACTTCCCCAGTCTCAGTTTTGTAGGGGAAATACTTTTCATGCCTATCCCACCAGTTTTGGCAGGTGCCGTTGGAGTGTGTCATCTCTGTCCTGTCTGAGAAGGACTCTTCTGTAGATGTGGGGAGATTCTTTTGTGGGTACTTTTGGCATTTTGAGTGAAGTGTTGTCTTTTCTAGTCTGTCCATGGTTAGAATAGGCAAGAACAATGAGAAGTGAGAAGACTGTGAGTATTAGTCTCATGTTTGGTTAGGACTTCCACACTTCTGTTTGTAATTTACTGTTAGAATTAATAGCTGTTTCTGAGAGTGGAATATTCTTAGTGCCCTACGCAAGCCTTTGGGTGTGTGTTTCTGTAGAATAAGGTCTGGAATCTTTATGATAGAAAACTGTTTTCTCTCTTTGAAATCCTTAAGCACTCTGATGATTCTGTATTGGGCGGAGGTAAGTTGAAAACATCATTTGCATGGCTTGCACCTTAGATGGATTTTTCTTCTTGAAAGTGGGACTCTCTGCATAGCCTAGGTGGGCCTGGAACTTAGGGAGTAGCCTAGACTGGCCTCAAACTCAGGATAATCCTCCTTCCTTTACCATCTAAGTACTGAGATAACAGGTCTGTATCACCATGCCTAGCTATAAAAATATTAAAAATCTTTAATATTTTTATTTATTTATTTATTCTGAAAATTTCATATATGTATATACATATATTTATATACATACATACATACATACATACATGTGTGTGTGTGTGTCTTGATCTTATCCACCCCCTTATCTACCCCTCCCAACTTCATGTTCTCCTATTTTCATTCTAGTATTACTGTTTTTAAATTGTTGAATCCAGTAAGTGTTGCCCATATCTGTTTGGGTTTGTAGTTATCTACTGGGGCATGGGTACCCCTCTAAAGAAAAATGGTTCTCCCTCCTTTAGCAGACATCAATTGCAGTAACTCCTCAGCTAAGCCCTCCCCTGTCCTGTCTATGCTGTCTAGGCTGGAATTTTTAACTGCCTTGATCTTATGCAGGTAAGTACAGCTGTTGTGAGTTCATATGCGCAACAGCATGAGATGCCATAAGATAGCCTTCTACAGCACTCCTCCCCCTCTTTCTTTCCTCTCTTTGACCATGTTCCCTGAACCTTGAGGTGTTTGGTATACATGTCCCTTCATTGGTGAGCACTTGCTGTCATTTATTCTTATAGTACTTTAAACAGTTATGCAGTTCTTCATCCACAATGTAGGATTTTTGATGGTGGTCTTCTAATACGTAAGAGGAGAGCATCTTGACAGGCACTTAAAAAACACTTCAGAGGGGATTCCCTGTGTGATACAGAATGGTACCTGCAAATTAGCTTGCAAATTAAATTCCTGTGCTTATACTAGGAAAAATGGCAGCTTCCCTCCATTCCTCATCGTAGGTTAAAACACTGTTATTCCCTCAGTGGAAAGAAAGCTAGAACCACAAAGAAAATGAACTTCTTTTGACTTACAGATAGGAAGCTGTGCTGCACTTCAACAGCAAATTATCACTGGCTTTTCCAGAGTTCATAGCTGCCTTTGCCCTATATACGCATTTTGAATCTATTATTTAAAAAGGCATTCAAGTTCGTCTTGTATCTCAATTCTTAAATAATTTAAGGCTCTGACTTGTACAATTCTGCCTTTGTAGCTTTCCTTGTCCTCTCTACCTGGGAAAGCATTGATTTCTAGGATTGAACAGAGATTACAACGAGGAAAATATTTCTCTTGATACTGCCCTGCATGGGAGCGTGTAGGTGGGCCTGATGAGAATCCATCAATGCAAGAAGGCCTGCCCCAGAGGAGACATGAAGCAGCTGATAACTTGTTTAGTAGCCTACATCAATCCTGGGCCATTTGCAAGTCCTGGGCAGCAAGTAGAGAGGCAACAGTGTGTGTGATTATCAGAGACTGAGGGGTGTTACTGAAGTGTCATCCATGTATCGGGACCACTTGTTCCCTTTGTTTTCCAAGACTGAAATCAACTCTAGGCAGAATCTTCACATAGCTTGCTTTTCCTAAGTTGAGAATACTGTCCTTTCTCTGGACAGGTGAGTATTTTAAAGGTACCTGATATCCAGCTAGAAGAGGAATCCTGGCTCAGTCTTCAGAAAAGGAACATGGCTATACGGAGTCACTGCCTCACGTGGACACAGTATGCCTCCTTGAGGGAAGAGTCTGTCTTCCTGGAAAGTGTGGAAAATCCAAATTG